GAGAAAGTCGTTGCCAAACAAGTTTGCGATCACTTCCACCATAATGAACTTTTTGAAGAGTTTCGGTCTGGCTTTAGAGCTCATCATAGCACTGAAACAGCTCTGGTGAAAGTCACTAATGATATTCTCATGGCCTCAGATAATGGACTTGTATCTGTGCTCGTCCTGTTGGATCTCAGTGCTGCATTTGATCCAGTTGATCATAATATTCTTTTAGAAAGACTTGAATATTTTGTTGGAATAAAAGTAACAGCACTAGACTGGTTTAAATCTTATCTATCTGATCAAATTCAGTTTGTTCATGTTAATGATAGATCTTCCTCATGCTCAAAGGTTACCTCTGGAGTACCACAGGGATCAGTGCTGAATTATTAGACAGCATGGGATTGATTTCCACTGTTATGCTGATGATACCCAGCTATATCTGTCTATAATCCAGATGAAGCTAACCCATTACATAGATTACAGGCATGTCTGAAGACATAAAAACCTGGATGACTCTTAACTTTCTCCTTCTGAATGCAGACAAAACAGAAGTTATAGTCTTTGGACCAGAGTCTTTAAAAAAGAAGCTGATTAGTCAGTCACTTCATTTGGATGGGATTAAACTGATTTCAGATAATAAAGTAAAAAATCTCGGTGTTGTTTTTGATCAGGACCTGTCATTTAAATCCCATATCAAAGAGGTTTCTAGATTTTCCTTCTTTCATCTGACGAATATTGCAAAGATGAGAAATCTCCTGTCCAGGGGTGATGCTGAGAAACTAGTCCATGCATTTGTTACTTCAAGGCTGGACTATTGTAATTCTTTACTATCAGGAAGTCCGCAAACTGTAGTTAAAAGCCTTCAGCTGATCCAAAATGCTGCAGCCAGAGTTCTGATGAAAATGAAAAAGAGAGATCATATCCTATCCTGGCTTCTCTTCATTGGCTTCCTGTTAAATCCAGAATAGAATTTAAAATCCTCCTTCTCACATATAAAGCCTTAAATGGCCAAGCTCCATCTGATATCAGAGATCTGATTGTTGCTTCTGTTCCTAACAGAGCACTTCGCTCTCAATCTGCAGGTTTTACTAGTGGTTCCTAGAATTTCTAAAAGTAGAATGGGAGGCAGATCTTTTAGTTATCAGGCTCCTCTCCTGTGGAACCAACTACCAGCTTTAGTCTGTGAGGCAGACACACTGTCTACTTTTAAGGCTAGGCTTAAAACTTTCCTTTTTGATAAAGCTTATAGTTAGAGTGGCTCAGGTTATCCTGAGCTATCTCTATAGTTATGCTGCTATAGGCTTAGACTGCTGGAGGACATAGAGACCCTTTTTCGTCATTTTACTTGCTTCTACAAGCATAGATACACCTTTAAAGTTTGAATTTGCCCAAGGCTGAGTCAACCCTCACGTGGTAGAACCTGTCTACCTCTGACGGGGACATAGATGCTGCTCATATCAACAAGCCAGAGACACAAACAGATGAAAAAAAAACAGATTAAGAATATAGAATTGCAAATATTTGTAAGTATCACCTATAATTCTTTCAAAGATTTATTCAGCACCAAAGGTAGCTGCATCACTGCTAACCAAAAGTCTTAGTTTTTGTCATCAAAAACTGAAATGGAAAAGATTTCCATTTTACATTAAGATTAGACCCTAGGACAGCCATGCTGTGGATGTGGAGATTAACCTGAAGGGGCACTGCCAAGAAAGATGACTCTGACCCGATCAGCTTCAGCTCCATCCACGGACAAATCTTTAAGCAGGAAATATTTAAGAATCAAGTGTCCGTTCAATTCTAATCCAGAACTGATAGATTAAAGAATCTGCGTAACAAATAAAGATCATCCTATCCAGATCAGCAATGTCTCAACCAGTGTTGTTCATGGACGCGTTCAATGAACGGCATTCGCTGAATACGTTCCTATTTTAGGTGAACAGTGTCAAGTAAAAAAGTACAAATACTTTGTTACCTTATTTAAGTAGAAATGTTGGCTATCTATACTTTACTGGAGTAATTCTTTTTCAGACAATTTTTAACTTCTACTCCTAACAATTTAAAAATAGATTCATTATGACCTGTTGGTATTTAAAAAAATAAAAACCATCAAAATAATTAGTTTCATCCAGACAATTAACTGGACATGGTTACATTAGTTATAAAACAACAAAAAAAATGAAGTCTAAGCAAGTTATCATCAAGAATTGTAGAAAAATGTTCCTTTAAAAGGGTAGAGCAGTAAAGCTTTTGGCCTTAACATTTTTTCCTGCATTACTTTTATACTTTACGTAGTTTTAAAAATTGTACGTATACACTTTTACTGGAGTAAAAAGCTTAAGTTTGTCAGGGTTTGGTTGAAGTTTTCAGGACCCAAATGCAGAGGCGAGGAAGCGGAGGGGAGTTCTTGTAGCTTTAATGAAGTTATCACAGGTAACAGAAGCAGGAATAAAGAAATCCAACATAAAAATGCAAAAGAAAAACCCAGAACCATGGAGACATCGGGGAAAACAAGCACAAGGGGCCGTGGAAAGACGAGGAACCAGCACTGAGAAACTGCACAGGGAGAGTATTTATGGGAGACTGAACAAAGAGAGGACTAATGAGCTGATTGGGAGAAGGTGTGAACAGAGGATTCTAGAAGGAGCGACGAAAAAGGAGACCAACACAAGAGGGAAACAAAGGGCAACAAAGAAAAAACTAAGAACTCAAATATATCCAGGAAACACAACAAAATAGGATTTAAACCAATAAAACTAGAAAACATGGAACAAAGTAAAACTGAATATTCAAAAAAAAACTTAACAGAACCAAGGCTGTGAGAAAGTTGATCCTCTAATTTCTACAAACGTGTTTTTAAACATTAGGATTTATACTACTGGAGTAATAAACATTAATAACGTAAAGTTTTACAGCACTATTACAGTAAACAGCCTAACGGAGAAGCATGTCTCCTGCTAGTACTAGTCTGCTCCATTCAGACGCATCTGCTGGTATTTCTGATGCCAGTTTAGCAGAGCGCTTGGCAGAGTTTGATCAGCTAACAAAGGAAGACTGGGACAGAATAAAACTCACGCTTTTTCTCAAATTGTTCCCACCAGGACCTAACATCGTACGTCAGCCATGGCCAATTCAAATTCTTTCTTTTTTTCTTTTTTTTTTACAGTGTCCTGTCTGCCGATTGGACAAAACAATAATTGTCTTGATGCCAAAAAGAGCCCAAAAGATTTAACTTTCACAAGTGGAGCACTACGGCTATCGTCATAGTGTTCCGCAGGGAGTGTTATGCAGGGAGTTTTACAGATTATATGGACACTGCAATGTAAGTAGAACGGAAGAGGAAAAACAGAAGAAAGGAGAAAAGATGAAAGAAAGAGGAGATAAAAGGGAGATAACGATTAAACATTTTCAGTCTGCTTCATCACCTGCAAAGAGATGTAAAAAGAACAGCACAACCAACTGACATGGTACAAGATATACAATAAAGTAACACCTAGATATGATTGCTGAAGTATAAGTAGTATTATTCAATCTGACATGTACTCTGTGTTTCCTGAAGATCAGAATATGGGCTTTCTGTGTGGAAGTGGAAGACATTCCCCTCAAGGCCATGTCTAGGAATATGTCTCCCCGCTTTATTGGCCCTTACGAGGTGGAGAGGATCATCACGAGATCTGCTGTCCGCCTTCGTCTCCCCTCCACTATCAGAATCCACCCAACTTTCCACGTTTCACAGATTAAGCCTGTCCATTCCAGTCCTTTGTGCCCACCAACTAAGCCCCCTCGCCCCTTGGACTTTGACGGTCACCCTGCCTACACTGTGCGCAGAATTGTGGATGTCCGCCGCCGCAGGCGAGAATGCTAATACCATGTCGACTGGGAGGGTTATGGTCCTGAGGACCGATCTTGGGTTCCTGGATCTTTAATTTTGGATCCCTCATTGATCAGAGACTTTCGTTCTTTCCGGCTCTCCGGCTCTGCTGGACCTCCGGGTGGCGGTCGTTTTAGGGGGGTCCAGTACTGGTCGGAATCCAGTTTGTGTGGATTGTTTTTTTGTGTTTTTCTCTCTCCACCACCAGGTGGTGCCCTGTTCCTTGATAGGCCTCCCTGCACACCTGCGGCTCGTTGGATCATTTCCGGAGGAGTATTTGAGCAGCGGGCTGTCACTACCTCGACGCCAGAGTGTTTGCCAGCTTTGGGTTACTCTAGCCAAGCTGAGATTATCTGAGTCTAACCGAAGCTTTGTTTCTCTGAGTCTAATCTTGTTTTTGTCTTTGCTCTTCGGCAGGAAGCCTTTCCTGTGTAACTGGATAACCTGGACCTTCTCCCCCTGGAAGGATTATTGAGTACACACTGAGCAGGGGTAAACCTCCACATGATCCGTTCACGTCCTCATCGGAAAACCAAGTTACAGTCCGCTCCTTTACTCCTCTGGGTCCAACGTATGTCTACCTGTCTGCTCTCCAACGAGTTCCCTCTCCTCTGGATTAATTCCCCACAAGCTGGATTCAAGGATTAACAAAAACCCCCTCAAAGTTTCTCTCCAGCTATATTCAAGTCTCAGTCAATTTTCCTACGGTCCCTGAACTGTTCACTGTGACCTCTCCTTCAGATATTCCGTTTCACCAGTCCACTGAGTTCCAGCTCCTACTTCTGTGTTTCATCAACATTCAGTAAACCTGTTAAACTTTTTCCCTTGGTCTCTGAGTGGTTCTCTGCACGTGGGTCAGATCGCTTAAACCAATTATGACAGATTACACGTTGTTGCCCTGTTTGTCCCTACATGGCGCCTGTCCCACAGTGGCTCACGCCTCGCGCCGCTTAGTCAATAGTAGCAAAGGGCTTATAGTCCTAGCTCTACTTCCCAGATATGGCGTTGGGCCCTGATACCGGTGTACGGTTTGTAGTAGGAGCTGGGCGAAAACAACGCCTGGATGTACGGAGCCATTTCGTTTACAACACGAAAGAGAACACCGGAGGAGGGACACCACCAAAGAGTCTGCGCTTCAAAATGGCATCGAATCTCAAGCAACATCTGAGGTGCCAACATGATGCCATATGGAAGAAGGTAAGGGTGGGCCTGTAGTAGCAGGAACGTGTGTGTGTGTGTACGCGCATGCATGTGGATGTGTGTGCCTTCCTGTGCCTGTACCTGTCCGTCTCTCTGTCATCTGTCATGACTAAGACAGAAATTTATTTTCATAATTTAGTCTAAGATTTAGACTAAATTGGGAAGGCAATGACTAAATATAACTAAGACTAAAATAGATTTTTGTCATTGTGACTAAGACTAAGACTACATTTTTTAAAAAGCTGATGAAATTAACACTGCTTCGCTGTCGTAGAAAAACTAAATGCGGCAGTGAAATATGCTCTTTTTGAAGGTAACCCCAGTGGGGGTATTTCCGTGTCACACTGGGAGAGCATGGCAGTCCTCTTATTAGAGCTGCTTCTATTGAAAGCCCAGATCCATGCGGCCGTGGATGGAGCTGTCAAAGATAAAGGTCTACATGCTTTTTCCTTTATGATTATTTCATTAGGGGGAGGTGGAGCCTGAGGGCCTCTTTGGAGAAGACAAAAGTTACGAAAAGAAAGGATCATGAGAAGATTACACTCTCACCTCTGCATTATGCCATGCTGATCATTTCTCAGCCAAATAATGTGGAAAAATAAACTGCAGTAAATTATAAAAGAAAACTCAACACCTGTAGAAGTGAAGCTGTTCCTCTGGACCATGTCTGCATATATGTAGTGATAAGATCGATAGCCGTCTGCATGCAGTTAACCACTAAAAGTAGTTTTTTCAAAAGTAGTCATTCACCAAATAAATCAGTTCATTTAAAAGTGACCGTGAGCATGGCTCAGGGTCTCATTTAGTCGATTAAGCAGCATTTTAGGCTCCGTCACAAATGTAAGGTTTTATAAGGTATTAAAGTATTAATAATGCTAACAGTATAAAGATTAGAGGTTGGATGTCATGGAAGGGTAAACACGCCTTTGCCTTTACAAACACATTTAGTTTATTGGACATGATTAGTAAAGAGCACACACCAACAGGTTGCTCTGTTGACAGTGTTTAAATGGACATCAATTCATAATCTGATTATCACTGGTTTAATTGGGGTAAATTGACTCTGCAAGCAGGCCAGGCAGCAGGTCTGGACAACACAGAGGTCACATCCTGTAAGCCCAGACCAGCAGCAGTTTGCTGAGCCTTTAGCTTAATTATGGAAAGCTACAACACCTCACCTGCTCTCAGAGCCCGTCCTGGATCATTTTCAGTCTACCACCAGTCTGTTCAGCCTGTTACTAGCTTGTTCAATTCAAATCAATTCAGTTTATTTTTATAGTTCCAATTCAATATATATTCCAATTCACAACACATGTCATCTCAAGGAACTTTGCAGTGACAATTGATGCAGACCATACAGGCATATTGATTCAGTTTTCTATCTGAGAAAAAAAACTGCTGATTTTATCGACGCATTGACTTGAAGGCAATCCCTATGATCCAAGTTGAAGGCTTAGATGAAGTCAATAGTTTTGCTAACTCTGAAAGCTCAACCGGATCAAAGCAGTCTAAACCCGATTCAGATTCCATGACTACCTCAGATGCCGCCCCACCCTCAAGAGATAAACCAATCATAGATAGAGGAGTGCTAATGATCTTATTTTTAATAAGATCAATCTTATTTATAAAGAATCCCATAAAATCATTGCTGCTAAGAGCAGGTGGAATGGACGGTTCAACAGAGCTATGGCTCTGGGTGAGTTTGGCATCTGGATTAAAAAGAAATCTAGGATTATTCTTATTCTCCTCTATTAATCAGGAGAAATATGCTGCTCTTGCTTTTCAAAGGGTCCTCCTATACAGCATTTACAGCTGTTCTTCCAGACATGATTTTCTCCCCAGTTTCCTAGCATTTTGCTTCAGAGTTTGCATCTCTGTGTTAAACCAAAGAGCCAGCTTTTTATTTTTGAAGTTTTTCTTTTTCAAAGGGGCTTCGTTGTCTAAGGCAGTACGCAGAGAACTAGCGACCCCATCAACAAAATCATCGACCTGTAAAGAGGAATAAACTAAGCTTTTGCCCTCTGCAGTATTGTTTAGTGATACAGAGAAGATAAAATGTAGAACAGAATCTTTAAAATTTATAACTGTATTGTCTCTATTATCTGATCAGTTTATAAAATGTCCCAGGAGGAAGTTTTCCCAAGGTGAACACTTTTCTTGATTTCTGGCAGGAGGTTGTCAACGAGTAAATCCCGTTGATGGGAAAGCGTGAAAGGGAAACGGTCACTGAGTGAGCTCTGAGTCGCTCCTCTTTAGCTGCAGGAGTGATAAGCTGATGATGGAGCAGTCGACCTAGCCTCAGGGTCACCCTCTGGTGGAGAAACAGAGAACAAAGACACACAGACATGATGCCACAACCACACTTCCTCGTTCCATTATTTCCAAAATTGGCAATATTTGTTAGACTGAGCTCAGATCACAGCCCTGTGGGACGCCATCTTTACTGAAAGCAAAGTAAAACAAGCCCAACACTAGAGAATATGCATAAATTAGAAATAGCACATGACCTTATGATATATAGCACACGAAACCCAAATGAGAATACTTAGGACCATAAATTAAAACCAAAACAGTGGATCACAACAGAGGACCAAATGTTTGAGGAAGACTTTCTGAACCTGTAGAGTTTTGAATCAAACTCCTGAATAACTTGTGGCTGTTGGCTTTATGTTGCTTGTAAATCCCATAACTGACCCTTTGACTGAAAAGATAAAAGGTGCATCGAAGTATTTCTACATCCTGAAGCCTGTTTCATATTTTACTGCATGGCAAAGTTTTATTCATGCCCACATACTGTCTTTGTGTCCCCAGCATGTTATCTGTAGCTTTCTGTGAGGCAGTGTTGTCCTTTGGATGTGTTATCGTCTCTGATAACACACTAGTCTAAAATGATTTCATCTTTTGTTGATCGCTGGTATAGAAACAGGTTTAAGTGCTTCGGCAGAACTTGTTTTCACCCTGATTTCAGCTCTCTTCCATGGCCTCTCCTCCGTTTTTAGTGCAAAGAAAAGAGAACTGTCATTGTGAACGTTGACCCCAACCTGATCCACATCCACACACCATCAGGGAGCCAAACACACGCCTTTACAATTAACTCCTGCACTGCCATCAATTTATCCCACAGAAAAGAAAGGACAGAGTCACCTAGGATCAAGCAAGAAAAAAAGTGAAAAACAGAAGTATAAAAAGCTTTTCTTGAGAATAAGATAGGAAAAAACATGTTTTTCAGTCGCTGTAAAGTAACTGTCACTGGAGTGACAAGGAGAAACTGGAGAGAGGCTCCATTCATTCAGCCGGTTTATTTGAAACGTTCAAGAGACAATTACAGGGAGTCAGGAGGGTTATGTTTATCCTGAGACCAGGCATGTGAGGAGGTGCCTTAAAAGCACTGGCAAAACAGACAGGTGCATTTTTCACAAACTTCTAACAGTGGGTCTTAGAATTGATTGGTGTTTAAAGCAGCAGCTGCTGGTCAGCAGGAAGCTCATGGCGGTATGACCTGCCCTCTGTAGGCAGTGCAGCCCAGGCGTACAGCAATAACTAACAATAATAATTCACCTATCCACGCCACAAACCCGCGTCCTGCTCTCTATCCCACCTGCAGTTCTCTGGAAGAGTGCTTCCAGCAGATTTCTGCCCACATACATTAAGGATGCTAATTCATTTTAATATGCTTTTGGAAATCATTCAGTGGGAATGTATAAAAAAAGGAAAATCAGAATTATTGAAAAGCCTCATTTTAAATCACAGTTACTTTTTTGATCCTTGGTGCAGGACACTGGCTAACCGATGTGGCATTGGGTTGAACATTCAATTCATTTCTACTGTATAACACCAATTCAAAGCACATGTCATCTCAAAGCACTTTAAAGAGACAAGTTCAAAGTTTTCTATCTAAGGAAAACCAGCTGACTGCATCGACTCATTGACTCTTCAGCAATCCCTCCCATTCAACATATTCTCATTATCAGTTCGTATGAAATCGTACGAAAAGTTATGCACACTATTTCGTACATTTTTCCTCAAAAAACCACATCAGTGCGCATGCGCTGGCAGACAGAAAAAAAAAGCAGATCCGCGGACGGACGTAAAACTGGGAAAAACAGTGCAATCATCACTTATTCATGTCTCTAACTACATTGCTTGCTGTTTTATATCTTAGTGTCAGGGTTAGGGCTAATTGTAATTTATATTCTATATTCGTGAATAGTGCATCAGATGCGCATGCGCATACGACGAAAAAAACGTACGAAATTACGGTGCATAACTTTTCGTACGATTTCATACGAACTCATAACGAGAATACACTGTCCCATTTGTAGCGACAGTGGAGAGGAAAACCTCCTTTGAACAGGAAGAAACCTCCAGCAGAACCAGGCTCAGTGTGAGCGGCCATCTGCTGAGGCCGACTGGGGTTCAAGGAGACAGAAGCAGACATAGAAAAAGAAGCATAGATACAAAAGGCAACTGTCAACCAGCTCCACAGGCGGCCCCGTCCAGGAAACACACAGCCAGGCAGACGAGCTCCGAGCCAGCTCCCATGTCAGAGGATGAAGAGAGCACATCCAGTTAGTCACAGTCAGAGAAACAGGACTACACTGGAAAACAGGCCAAGCTCCAACATCTAGAAACAAAGGTGCTGATGGCAGCAGCACAGCTGATATTTCTCTTTTTTTTCACCATCAAGCTAAAGACATTTCTGTGAAGATTCTCAGTCATCCAGGTCATGGTCAAGCTTGAAAACTTTCAGTTTAGGCAACTGGATGTGAAGTTTTCTAGAAGACGTCTCTCCTCTCATCCAAGAGGATTCTTTAGTTCTAACTAATGGTGGGGTAAAAACTGAGATTAGTATACTGTACGTGGAACAAAGAATAAGTGGAACAAAGTATGGATTTGATCCATCCTACTATTGGCCAAAGAGGTCACCTGGGGGTTAATGAGCGTTATGGGGTTCTGATGGTTAAACTCCCTCATCAGAGTGGTTTTGGTCACATGCCTCACTGAAGGGTGAGTCAGGTGAGGGCGGGTGGGAGATGAATCTTCTGGGTATTGTTCCTTTGTAGGTGGGTGAAAGGTTCTGTCTAACACCACCTCCTCGGTTGAGAAATGGTTATTCTAGATTAACAAAGATGCCTTCCTTAACTCCCCCATCAAAACCACCTTTTCCGTAATTCTTTGTTCCACCTACAGTAATCTCAGTGCCCCCCACCACAAGTTGGAACTGAGGGAGCTTCTTGGATGAGCGGAGAAACGTCTTCCATAAAACTACATCCAGCTGCCTAAACTGAAATTATCAAGCTTAAGCTGAAGACATTTCGTACAAAACTGAAGAAATTGAGCTGGTCTTGACTTCTGTTTTGCTAATGTTGGAGTAAGGAATAAGGTGCGATAGAGTTCATGTCAGGGTTAGAGTTAGGTTTGCTCTGGTAGCGGTTAGGTATGGAGATATTCTCAGGGTCAGGCTTAGAAGGGGTTAAAAATGACTGAAAATCAATGGAAATCGTCACATCGTCCTCACCACATAGAGCAAGACGAGGATGTGTGTGTTTCTGAAAGAAAGAAAGAGATGGAGAGGCAGGGAGAGGCGGGGGTGGGGTGCTGTGACATGACTGTGAATGTGTGTTGAAGTAAAAAACACTAAAGAACCTCTGTCACACTTACAGCCGTCTTAGCGTCACCAGGGAATCCTGCAGCAGCTGTCCGTTTTACAGCTCAAGATCCTTCTAAAAATTGAGCCTGATCTCTTTGTTGAATAATGCACAGACATTTTTTTGTTATTTAAAAAAATAGCTTTTAGTAGCAGTAGTGGGACAGTAATGCCACCTGACAATCGCTCCCTGCAGTCTTGACTGAGGCCTGCAGGAAAAGTCAGACTCCTTGTGATTGACAAGGACAAAAACTGGAGTCGTTCGACTTGAGTTTTTTTAATTTGTCAACCACAGCCATGGGATTTGAGAGTAAAAGATGAAACCCTGACATTGGCTACAATACATTAAGGACTGAGGCATGACAAGTATGATTACCATATCCAGGAAAGTCCTTAAGGGCACCAAGGTTAGCAGCATCCTCTGCAGGACATTTTATTATTTATAAAGATGGAGACAGTGCGTGCTTCTTTGAGCTTACAGGTGTTTCAAAGAAGGTCTCTTCATTTCCCCAGTAGGAGTACCCACACCGCTTCAAATGTTTACATCACTGCTATGTTTGCTTATGGGTTGGCCTTGTGACAGCCTTAATTCTAACCAGGTATAATGTTTCTCACTATGGTCATTAAGCTAAAATGAAGCTGCCATTTAACCCCAAAAGAAAACCTTTGAACAACTAAGCATCATTATTTACAGGGAGTTTTAAATGGTAGTTCTGATCGACCGTGCAGTGGTTAGCTCTGCTGCCATTCAGACACATCCTGAAAAACAATCTCATGTGCACATACATTAGTGCCAAAACTTTTCATTCTGATTCTCTAGCATTGAGATATGGGGCCAATCTCCAATAATTTTCTAGCCTGACGTAGTCCTACTCAATTCTAGTCAGAATATGAGTCTGATACGGCTCCATAGAGCTGTGATTATGGGGCGTGTTTTGAACGAACTAGGAAAAAAAATGCCTCTGCACTCAATTGGACAGACGTACAACCAATAAGAGCAACGGAGTGCGTGACGTATGTTAAGCAACGCATAGTTGTTGTCAACAAAAATCAAAGCGTGCAGTTGCACGCCTAGAATAAGAAGATGAGCCTTGATCGCGTTTCTCTGTTCCTCTTTTAAAATTAATTTGCTGTTGATATCTTCTAGAACAGACCTAATAGCAGAATCTACTCACCTCAACTCTCCGGCCGCAGCCATTGTTGTTGTCACCCAAGCGCGCTTTGGTCACATGGTTGATTACGTTACTGTTGATCATCTGTCCATCATCGTATAAAACCCGCCCTGACAATTTGATTGGATCACCTGACAGTGGGCGATGATACTCGCGCTACTATGGAGCAGAGCCAGACCGAACTTCCCGACCTCAAACCTTGTGGGCGGGACTAAGTTCGGAATGGCACCCAGGCTAATAATTTTCAGCCCTATCCGTACATTTTATGTTTCAATGCTGATAGTGGCGTCCCATCTTCATGATCTTGGCACCTATTGCTGGGTTTGTCTCTTTTTCTCACATCTGCTTTGCTCCATCTGGGCTCATTGTCTCTAAACAGATCCACCTTTTCCTGCTTCTATTAAATCTACCTGTTCCCAGCCATTTGTGCCACATTATTCGAGCCTAGTGTGAGATTAATTAGCTTACTCTGTTGCGTTTATTCTGCCTGATCCTGACCTGTTTCTGCCCTGGACTTCTGACTTCTGGTTGACCCTGTTCTGCTCTGTGTGCCTTCCTGTTTCCAGACTGTTACCTTGGTTCTGCCTGTTATCAACCTTGTACCTGTCTTCCAGGATTATTCCCTCTGGATCCTTCTATTCCTCTGGCTGCTGCTGGTCACTGCTCCACTTTTCTCCTGGATCTCTGGAATCGGCTCCGTCACAAGCTATAGAGTAACCACCCATCTGGCCTTCACTCCTTCTTCTGGGCACAGACTGAACTTTACCAGGTTGGTGACTTTCATGCTCATTATCGTTCCCCGTCTGAGCTCTGAAGTCAATGACCTGAGTTTACGTTTCTACAGGGTATCTGTTGAGAGACCCTATCTGACAAGCAGCCGTATGTTTTTAATAAACACTTGTTCCTGAATCTGATCTGTGTGCTTGAATTCTGGGTTCCTTGTTCTAAACTCCTTACATCATTTTCTTTGCATGTAAGGGTGGTGGACATTATCAGATAACCAGATTCTCCAGGACAGCAGAGCTAAGATGAAACAGCAGTCTGGAGCTGAGACAGAAGCAGAAATATTGACAGAGAGAGAACCTGAACTGATACCAGGCAGCCAGCCGTACCCACTCTGGAGCTAAGGAACCACAGCAAGAGATCGGAGGAACCTGCTGTGAAAACAGCGCCCCAGAGCAGGGTCATGCCAGAGGTTTGCTGGTGCTAGTACAGGAGGAGAATGGAGGACAACAGCAGAATACTGGAGAAGCCCAAACCATGTAAGGGCTAGGAGAGGCTATGGCTGGCCTGGGCAGGCTAAACAGACTAACTGCTGAGGATCAAATATGGATGACAGATTGGAGAAGTCGGCCAGGAGGACAGCACAAATGAAGGAGGAGCTGGCCGGGAGGAGACCAGTAGAGTCTCTACTGGTTCAGTCTCAGGTCCCCACACAAGGCACAGATAGGAAGCAACACCCAAGTCTGCCAGTCGAGGAGCTCTGTCTCTGAGCCTGTTCACCGCGTAGCACATAATCTATTTTTTTTTTTTGCTAAATTCAAGTAATGAAGCAGAAATGTAAACAGCTCCTCCTACTTGATGACGCGGTCTGCCGTGAAATTACCGCGCATCTGAGACGCAATTTGGTCAACAATTCGCAGGAAATGACTGCCGACACCAAGTTTGGTGTGAATGCAACTTTGTAGTTTTCCACATGTTCATTCCTCTGGTGATCATCAGGGAGAGGAACACGACTTGGAGAAAAAGGGTTAGAGCATAAAGCAACTGATAAAGGAGATAATGTTCCAGAATCTCTGGAGATGATTCAAAAGTGAAGAAGATGTGGACACCAACGAGTATCCTCTACAGAAGATTGTCTTCAGTCAGAGGCCTCTCCGGATCTGCTGCAAGACAGACCGCTACAAAAGATCCTTCCTGCCAACAGCATCAGCAAAACCTGGATAAAAAAAAACGCAACAATAAATTACCCTTTATGATTTACAAAGCATTTTTAAATTAATTAAATCTAAGTCAGTCTCTGGGCCTTTTTGATTGATGTCACCTCCTGTGTAGTTATGGTTCACCACCTCTAGCATCATATCAGTTTAAATTACTGGTTAAGTTTGAGATGAAACCGAACAGAATCATAATGAGGAGAAGCTTCCACCCCCCACCTCACCATCTACGGCAGACAGTTTTCTAAAACCATCAGTTCAGAGCCGGCATGACGCCGTTTGTTTTCTTTTCCATAGATCCAAACCTTTCAATGAAAAGTGGCTTACAGAGGTTCCGGGAAACGTTTTACTCTTATAAATGAGACTCTTGGTTGATTCACTCCAGCCACTGGGAATGAAGGGTAGGAGCTTTAGAAAGAGAGTCCTGAATTCAATTCAATTCAGTTTATTTATACAGCACCAATTCACAACACATCTCAAAGAACTTTACAGAGACAATTCAACCAGATCATCCAGTCAAACTGATTCAAAGTTTTAATCAAAGGAAAGGCAGTTGATTGCTTCGTCCACTTGGATTCTTAGCAGCACAGAGGAAAAGGCAGAGGGGATGCATGACTCATAAGGCATAAAAAACAAAAGCTGATGAAGCTGAAACAAATTAGTAAGTTCCAGAGTAGATCCATGTAGATCTGCTTCTACAGTCGCTTTGCAACTAATCAGTATTTTAGTGTGAATGTCACCAGCTTAACCTTTATACCCCGTTCCCTCTGGCCAAAATACCCGTTTAAACCTGGGAACAATCAGCTTTTAGTCGCCGTGGCAACACCTCACTGTCACATGTCTATCCGTGTCATACAACTTGGCAAGCGACCCGCATTAGAATTGCCTCGGCTTTGATCGGTATGCTATGGAAACACCAGAGCCGGGTTGACCTGCAAAATTACGTGATACCATACATGACCTAATCTGCTCCCTTTCCACTCGCAAACAAATCTGGGTCTAACCCCTCGCTGGCAGCTGAGTGGCCTCTGTGCCCATGCTGCTGCGTGTCTAGTGACATCATCAACGCTAATCCAGTGTGATGGTCAAAGCGGTATTTACCATTAGCAGTGTTGGGCATGTTACTTTGAAAAAGCAATTAGTTATAGTTACTAGTTACTTCTCCCAAAAAGTAACTGAGTTACTAACTGAGTTACTCCACAATAAAAGTAACTAGTTACTAGTAAAAATAACTATTGCGTTACAGGGTTTATAGGCCTGTCAGATAGCGTTCCCCCCATGTTAGGCAGGGGGAACACTATCTGACAGGGTTTATAGGCCTGTCAGACAGAGTCCCCCCCATGTTAGGCAGGGGGAACGCTATCTGACAGGGTTTATAGGCCTGTCAGACAGAGTCCCCCCCATGTTAGGCAGGGGGAACACTATCTGACAGGGTTTATAGGCCTGTCAGACAGAGTCCCCCCCATGTTAGGCAGGGGGAACGCTATCTGACAGGGTTTATAGGCCTGTCAGATAGCGTTCCCCCCTGATCTGACTGGCCTATAAACTCCGCCAGATAGCGTTCCCCTACTTAACATGGGGGGAACGCTATTTGACAGGGTTTATAGGCCTGTCAGATAGCGTTCCCCCCTGATCTGACTGGCCTATAAACCCCGTAAGATAGCGTTCCCCCCATGTTAAGCGGGGGGAATGCTATCTGGCGGGGTTTATAGGCCCGTCAGATAGCGTTCCTCCCATGTTAGGCAGGGCGAACACTATCTGACAGGGTTTATAGGCCCGTCAGATAGCGTTCCCCCCTGATCTGACTGGCCTATAAACTCCGTCAAATAGCGTTCCCCTGCTTAACATGAGGGGAACGCTATTTGACAGGGTTTATAGGCCATTCAGATAGCGTCCCCCCATGTTAGGCAGGGGGAACGCTATTTGACAGGGTTTATAGGCCAGTCAGATAGCGTCCCCCCCATGTTAAGCAGGGGGAACACTATCTGACAGGGTTTATAGGCCTGTCAGATAGAGTCCCCCCCATGTTAAGCAGGGGGAACGCAATCTGGCGGGGTTTATAGGCCCGTCAGATAGCGTTCCCCCCTGATCTGACTGGCCTATAAACCCCGTCAGATAGCGTTCCCCTGCTTAACATGGGGGGAACGTTACCTGACGGGATGGATCAGTCCTTTTGCTGCACATGTTCAGAAAGGTCCAAACAGACAGCAGCAAACCATTTGAAAACAAACAATGCAAAGAGCAGTGTTTCCTTTTTTTTTTTTTTTACAGTGTCCTGTCTGGCAATGTGGCAATAAGAATAATTGTCTCGATGCCAAAAAGAGCCCAACAGATTTTACTTTCACAAGTGTAGCAGTATGGCAATTGCCATATTGCTCCACTTCTTTCATGCATATAAATTACTTTATTATAATTATGCAGGGAGTTTGACAGTTTATATGGACACTGCAATGTAAATAGAGCAGAAAAACAAAAGAAGAAAAGGAAAAAAAGAAAAAAAAGAGAAAAGATGAAAGAAAGAAGAGATAGAAAGGAGATATTGTCAAAACATTTTCAGTCTACTTCATCACCTGTAACGAGATGAAAAGAACAGCACAACCGAAAGACATGGTACGAGATATACAATATATCATGATGGGTTTAAGGTTCTTAGCCCACATGCAGAACACAACGGAGGCTGGGTAAAAGTTTAACAGAGTTTATTGAAGTTTCACAAAACACAAGATTATGTACTGGGTCAGGAACTGGTCCGGGCTGGTTCACTGAAGTCTGCAGAGATGATAGTTTGATTAGAAGACAGGCAGATGTGTTATGAGTCTTTGATAATTCAGGATTGTACCTTGACTGAGTCCGGGCTTCTCTTTGAGAGAGAGAGGGAACCGTTGGGTCCAGAGACTGTTTGTTCAGCAGAGTTCAAGAGCAGCTGCAGCGTCTAGCTTCTGACTTTGAATGGCAGACCTTGATCAGAGTTTCCAGCTCTTCACTAAGAGCAGCAGGGGAATCCACATAGGAATCTTCAGGTTGGCTCACCAGGGCAGATTTGGCAGGTTAAGCTCATCCAGAGCTTCAGGCTAGAGACAGGTTTCCTGTGAGGCAAAAACAGAGGAGAGTTAGAATCTGATCTCTCTCAAGAGACAACTAAGATTCTTCAGTTTCAAGGCTCAGGTTGCTAACCAAACTAAGGTCAACACTGCGGCGTCGAAGCAAGGTCTGGCAGCTGATTATAAAGGAGAGGTCTCTTGATGAGTAGATGCGTCTCAGGTGTGCTGGGAGACTCCAGCTCCAGGAGACCCACGGCGCACTCTGCTGGAAGAAGGAGGTACAGCTCCAGATCCCAACACAATAAAGCAACACCTTGAAACTATCGCTAAAGTAATATTATTAAGTGTAACATGTACTCTGAGTTACATAAAAATATATATGTGGGGTTTCTGTATGGAAATGAGCAGTGTTGCCAACTTAGCGCTTTAGTCAATTCGGTTTATTTCTATAGCGTCAATTCACAGCATGTCCTCTCAAGGCACTTTAGAGTTCAACCAGATCATCCAGTCAAATTGTATGATCACTATATTTAGCGACTTTTCAGACCCCTTTAGCACTTTGACTTTTAAAAAGTGCCTAGGACCAAATCTAGTGACTTTTCTGCTACGTGAGACTTATAGACAACATGGGCGATATGAACAAGATGTTTATAATTTACTATACAGCGTTGTTGCAGCAGTGGCATCGTTTCCTCTCTCAGCTCCTCTGCCTGGTAGCTGCAGCTGCCTGCTCTCTCCTGTCCCTTTCCCATAGCAGCGCATCAACTGTGCTGTGCTGATTAACTCCACTCAATGATTTTTCTGCCTTAAGTTCCTCCTTCTGTCTTTCTGCGTGCTTGGAGCACGAAAAAAAAAAAAAAAAAGCTAGAATACAGCGGTTACCAAAATTAATATTAGGCTATGAAACTAGTCCAATTAATAAATTAGATATTATTTAAGCTAAAACAGGCGAAAGCTTCTGATTGCAGTTCTGTAAAGAAGAGGGAGAGAGTTGGGATTTGTGCAACTTGAGAAATGAAAGTAACCAACGTTAGGATTGCTTTATTAAACTAAATATTCTGAGTCAGACAGGAGTTCAGAAAACTGCTGTTTAAATGAACAAAGACTGTAAACTATCAAGATTTCTGATTCCCTTTCACCAATATTTATTTGCTATTAATGTTTTCATTTTTGACGGCAGTTCAGGTATAAATAGCAGGTTTTATTTCTTTTTTAGAACATAAAAGTCCGGGTATTTTTTGTTTTCCACATAAAAATTGTTCTATTTAAATAACTTCTACTTCTAGAAATAGGATAAATACAAACAGAAGAACTCTATTTACATTGACTCTATTTTTCTGGATTTCCACACGGTCCATAAGTAAATTAGTACAAACATTAATGTCTGGTAAATAATGCTTGATTCAGGCTGTTTATTTGGATACTATTAGATTACAGATAATATAGTGTTATATTGTCTTTTATAATTGTTAAAAGTGATTTTATATTTGAATAAACTAAGGCTTATTCTTAGTGTTGTGTTTGTAGATGATGACACTAAAAAAAGAAAATAGACATAAGGAGCTATTTAAACAGGACGATGATAAAAGGTTGTTACATTTAATCCTTTAATATTAAAAACACGCTTATATAACAGAAACATTATATGATTGTAGGAAACAGATATAATGCTGCAGGGCAGCCTCAGGGTGAAGCAGCTGCCCTTCACTGCTACATGATGAAAGAAGTGTGTTTGGAACGTTGCCATAAAATTAGTGCTGCAACTGATGATTATTCTGCAAATTTATTAATCTGTTTATTTTTTCGATGAATCGATTAATAATCAGATCACCCAAAGGTTCCTTAAAGAAGGTTTTTTACTAGAGGAAACCAGGTGAAACAGAAATGTTTCCTCTTGAGGAAAAATGTGTCCTGATGCTCACATTAAACATAAAAAAGAGCATGCATATTTTTGCAAAGGACCAATGACATCAGACCAATGAAACTGAAGGCCAACAGTGTCCCTACCA